TTGAAAAAAAAATTAAAAAAAAAAAAAAAAACCACAATGTGATATCACCTCAAGTTCAAAAGGCAGAGAGTAGCAATTGTGGACGAAGATGAGGAGCAACTGAACCTCTGTGCACCGAGGGCGGAGTGCAGATTGGTACAATGGCTTTCGAAAGCACTGAACGGGATCTACGCAAGCTGAGCGTAAGGGGACCCCGTGATCCAGTGCTAGCTATATAGCCAAGAGAACCACATAATGTGTTCTTCGCGTTACATTTGTAATCACCCAAAACTACAAACGATCCGAATGTCTACCAACAGTAGCAGGGATACATAAAGGGCAGTATATCTATATCAGCAGAACTCTCCAGCAGTGGGAGCTAACCGCGACTACATGTAACAGCATTTGTAAATATCACAAGCTTAGTGGTGTTGGGTGAAGGAAGCCAGGACAGCGGGAGTATGCGCCACATCATTCCGTTTATGTGACATTCGAAACCAACTCAACTAATCTATGGGGTTAGAATTCAGAATCACTGATTATCCTTGGCAGGGAGTGCCTGAAAAGTGGGGAGAAGGTAGCTTCTGGAGTTCTGGTAATACTCTGTTTGTTTTTTGATCTGGCTGGCGATTATGCTGGCACATTTTTATGAAAATTCATCAAGGCATACTTTTCGGTATGTATGGTAATCGCCGATTACAAATTATAGGATAGGGGCCCCTGGGAGGCTCAGTCGGTTAAGCATCCAACTCTTGATTTCAGCTCACGTCATGACCTCACAGTTCATCAGGTCGATCCCTGCATTGGGCTCTGCGCTGACAGTGCGGAGCCTCCTTGGGATTCTCTCTCTCCCTCTCTCTCCGCCCCTCCCCTGCTCAGCGTGCACGCTCTCTCACTCTCTCAAAATAAATAAATAAACATTAAGAAAATTACCTGATATATATTTATAAACGTGCGACATATACACACATCATGCACACATGTATAAAATATGGAATATAAATATGTATTTATACACACATAGGTGCACACACACACACACACACACACATATATATTCCATCCAAACCGTAACCGCTTCTGACGCTCCTCTGAGTGTCATTTTAACATGATTCCAATCACTGTGTGCCCAGTTCCTCTCTTGGAGTCTTTGCCTGTGGCTGGGATAATAGTCTTTAAAACAGAATCTGGGTGATATCCGTCCTTGGCTCATAACCAGCAGTAACTCCGCATGTCAATCAGAATAAAATCCTCAGAGGAGACGTAGATCCCTGACAGCCTACATAAACTGGCCTCACCACCCAGACCTGTCACTTTTATCCCTTTATCCTGCTTCATTTTTCTTTACAGTTCCTCTCACCAGCTGACATGCCATTGACTTGGTTATTGATTTATAACTGGCCTCTCCACCACTAGTATGTAAGTTACACGAGAGCCGGGACTTTCGCTTTCTGCTTTATGGCCCTGACATCGAGAACGGTGCCCGGCACGAAGTAGGCAATGGATGGATGAATGAGATCATCACCAGAAAACATAAGAAGTACGCAGAATTTGTATGTGCAGCCTTCTTTCACAGGTTAGGAAGCAAAAAACTGAAATCACTCCCTTGGTGTTATTCAGGAGTGCAGCTCAGGTTCGTCTCTCTCTCCCTCTCTCTCTGTCATTCATCTCCTCCATGTGGCACACATCACACATTGCCATGCAGTGCAGTCATACGATCCTAGTGGCCGAGAATCAAGTGAGGGGGACATCCAGGTAAAGACGCATTATACTGGAATCGGGCGTTTCTCTATGAGCCTTGTTTTGCGGATATACGGCCCTTTTGAATACGTGCTAGTAAAAAAAACTATCATTTTACTTGCCAAAAATACATGTATTGGGGACCTGGGGATGCCCCCTTCAGTATTCTGCATAAGAAGAAATTTTCAAACAAAATAACGCCATTTTGTTAGGTTCTACAACAGCTCGACACTTTTCAGGTCCTGAAGATGAATTTTTGTAGGTGAATGTGTCCAGAGATTGAGATTGTTTCCATCAGAAGTCCTGCCTCCCTGTCCTCCGTGGGGCTCCCGTTTACATCTGACTCCCGTGTCTGGAGACACTGACAAGTTTTACCTTTTCACAGAGCTACCCAGTACTGTCTGCCCCTCCGTAGCTTGTCTAAAACCTGGTTAAGGGGTGCCTGGGTGGCTCAGTTGGTTAAGCATCTGACTTCGGCTTCATGAAGTCAGTGAGTTCGAGGTTCATGGGTTCGAGCCCCGCGCTGGGCTCTGTGCCGTCAGTGTAGAGCCCACTTGGGATGTTCTGTCCCCCTCTCTCTCTGCCCCTCCTCGGCTCGCGCTCTCTCTTTCTCTCTCAAAAATGAATAAACATTTAGAAAATGAGTAAAAAAATAAATAAAGCCTGGTTAAATGTGCAAATGTTGGGGAGGGGGAGGGCGAGGGGGAGGTCCAGTTTGGTTGTCAGCCTGGTTGGCCCTTCAGTTCGGTTAAATATGGGGGGGGGGGAGTGGGTGATGGGCATTGAGGAGGGCACCTGCTGGGATGAGCACTGGGTGTTGTATGGAAACCAATTTGACATATTAATAAAAATTAATTATTATATTAATAAATATAATTTTAGAATTATTAAAATTATTATCATATTAATAAAAATAAAATTTTAAAAAGAGAGAGAGAGAGTTTTAGGCCCTTTCAGTTACTACCTGGCCGAGGACAGTTTTGTTGCTTTGTTTTTTAACCGATCAAACGCGCAACCGCGATAAGCCCACGCAGACCTGCCACATGCTCCACCCTCACTAAGGGTGTCCTTCCCCTCGCCCCTCTCAGAAAGCGGGAAGCATAACATCCAGCTGTAACTGCAGAAGCAGGTCAAATAATAAAATGAAACCCAAGAGACATTGAGTGTCCCAAGGCCAGCGTCAGATCATTCGTTCATCACACAATTCAGTCTTTTAATAAGGCCGAAAATGATGGTTAAAAGGAATGATGCTTTTACTTCTAAGCTGAGTGCGAAATAACCATTAATGTCACAGGAGAAATGGGTGCCAATGTTCGTTCTGCAGCTCAGCCTTACGGCTCAGGAGGTCAGAGCGCGGAGTAACCAGGATATAAACAGGACTCCGATGTGGGAGTTCTGGCTCGTTGGCCACACAACTTGGAAGCCGTGTCACCCAGGGCAAGTCGCTTAACCTCTCTGAACATCGTCTCCCTGGGGTGTAAAATGAGGATGGAAAAAACACCTACCTGTCAGGGTTTTTGTGAAGATTCAATGAGGTCTCAGTTCTAAAAATGTTTTGTAGCCAAGAATACACTATGATGATGTATAGGGTTCTTAGTGTCCTTAAATAATTCATTGAATATCGTTCTTAACCTTCTGTCTACCTCCTAAAGCCACTTCCCTAAGGTTTAGCTAAAGCACTCCCCAGCCCTGAGGTCTGCCTATCCCTTCCGTTTTAGATTAGGATTGTTTTCAATAATTCAATGAAAAAAACGTGTATGTTCCGTATCTGAGCCATCCCACCTAAGCCTTTGGAATAGAACTATGGCCTCTGAAACCCAGATCGTTGATGCAGCACAGATATGAACAAGCGATTCCCTGACACCCTTGAGGGTAGGAAGATTGGAGGTGGAGATTGAAAAGCGAGGGAAATCTCCTCCCTCCCCATCCCAACATGGAACAATGCCCCCGCTAAACATTTTCTTCTCTATAATAGAAAAGGTGACTATTTAGCGAACCCTTATCCTATGCCAAACACTGTGCTATGTATTGTTTCATGCGACTTAACAACACCCTGTACTATTATTGGCACCTATAGACAAGAAGACTATAATTAGAATAAGTAGCTTGAGGGGCACCTGGGTGGCTCAGTCAGTTAAGCGTCTGACTTGGCTCAGGTCACGATCTCACAGTTCATGGGTTCGAGCCCCGCATCGGGCTCTGTACTGATAGCTCAGAGCCTGGAGCCTGCTTCCGATTCTGTGCCTCCCTCTCTCTCTGCCCCTCCCCCACTTGTTCTCTCTCTCTCTCTCTCTCTCTCTCTCTCTCTCAAAAAATAAATTAAAAACATCAAAATTTTTTTTAAAAAAGGGATAAGTAGCTTGACCAATGTCACATGGTAGAGTCAGAATTTGAACCCAAGCCTGCCTAATTCCTTTCCTGTTTTTTTTTTTTTCCATTTGTTGATTGATTACGGTAAAACCTTGGATTGCAAGTAGCTCGTTCTGCGACACTGAACATCACGTGATCACCACTGAGCCGATCGTTCTTGAAATTGACTTTGACAGACAAGTGCTTCAGATTACAAGCATGTTTCCACCACGAGTTATGCTTGCAAACCAAGGTTTTGCTGTATTTAACTCCTACATTTTAACTAACTTTGTGTGTCTGTGTTTGCCTTTCTGTTCCTTTATCCTTTCGTTTTTGGATGAGTAGTGTAATGAGTAAGGTAGAGGCTATGGCCGAGATGCCTAAGGCATGGTCACCGTGCTTAAGGAACTGTTCTGATCCACTGCAAGAATGGTGACAGATAAATAAGTCCCTATACGACGTGGAAGAATTTAAAGCGGTCCATAAGGAATGGAGCATTAGCCTTCTTACCGGGAACATGCAAATACCACTCTCTATACGGTGGTTGTTAGGATACAGTGAAAGGCCTATATCGAGCGTTTGGCAAAGACCCTGTCTCACAGAAAATGCTCAGGATGAGGATTTTCTAACGTTGTCAGATAATAACTAGGATACAAAGCTAGGAAAGCAACTCGGCGTCAGATTTCGAGAGCCTTGAATGCTGGTCTAGAGTTTGGACTTCCCGCTTGATAAAAGCAGTTGTGCCAAGGTCAGTGATCATTCTGAAAAGAAATCAGAGCTGACGCTAGCTTGCACTGCCTTTCAACATTCATCATGAGTGAGACGGAGGTGAGGGGCACGGTTGGGACTGGCTTAGAGGGGTTTTGTGTTTGATGCGCTAAAAGGAAAGATGATGTTTTCAAGTTTGATGCCCTGTGCTTTTCCTCCCGCAGTAATTAGTGAATGCCAAAGGCAGCAACTGGAGTCTGTGAGCTACTCTTCTCGCTACGCCCTGGGCCTCTTTTATGAAGCTGGCACGAAGATTGATGTCCCTTGGGCTGGACAGTACATCACCAGTAATCCCTGCACACGCTTCATCTCCATCGATAATAAGAAACGCAATATAGGTCAGTACCCCCATTATTTCCCTTAAATACAGTAACAATGGTGGGTGTAGATCACGACAAATGCTGTTTAATTGAGTGTTGCCATTCTGAACAGAGCAAGCATTTAACTCCAAGCCACAGGGGATAAAATCTAATGTCACGTTTGGCCAATAATAAAATACGCAGTGCAACCAGCACGGTTTTTCAGAAAAATCATTCCCCACATGGTTCGTATTACCAAGTTCATGAAAATCGTGTCAGAAGTTTGAAGATTTCAAAATGGCCCAAAAGTGCGATTGCTTTAATACGGGTCGATCCATATGCAGAAGTATCTCTACTCATTGTGTTTTGTTCGTTTGGCTCTTTTTAAAATTTGGTAAGCACTGCTCTTTCCACTTCCCAGGCTAGAAGTAAAAAAGTGAATTTGCCTGTGTTACGAAAACCCTCCACTTCCGTATAATTTTATTTACCTAACTTTCATCCGGACGACTACACAAAATTGCTTTGTCTACGATATAACGACAACGATACGTAAAATGTTTCGTAAGAGCTTTACTAGAATACTAGGGCTAAAATCTCCACGCCACATTTTTTGTAGAAGGTTGTTATTAAAATTAGATTTGAGGGGCGCCTGGGTGGCGCAGTCGGTTAGGCGTCCGACTTCAGCCAGGTCACGATCTCGCGGTCCGTGAGTTCGAGCCCCGCGTCAGGCTCTGGGCTGATGGCTCGGAGCCTGGGGCCTGTTTCCGATTCTGTGTCTCCCTCTCTCTCTGCTCCTCCCCCGTTCATGCTCTGTCTCTCTCTGTCCCAAAAATAAATAAACGTTGAAAAAAAAAAATTAAAAAAAAAAATAAATAAAATTAGATTTGAATTGCTAGAATAAACATGGTGCTCATCTTAGGAATAAAGGAGAAAGGGTATTCTTATTTGTAGGATTAGCATGGTCCCTGACATACTGCTTTTCTTGAAGAATAAACTGTAATGATGGAAAACGACTAAATTCTTGAAGGGAATCGTCATTTCAATTTGTTGTGTTGTTTTATGGTGCAGGGGATGGTTTCATCAAGCCGTTAGTTAGACGTCTCGCTTGATAAAATCACCAACTAACGTTTCCCGGCTTGCCAGAGCTTTATAATGACAGAACTGGGCTGGAGTATGGTTTTTATATCAGAGCACATGATCTTAGAAAAATGTTTCTTTTATAACTTAAGACTCCCTCAGGGCCAGACTGTTTATGTTAACATGATACCACATATATGTACAATCAGCAGTTCATGAAATGCCCTGTAACAGCAATGGACTAACTATTTTTAACTCTACAACTGCTTTGTTCTAAGAGGAGAATGGCCCTTGATCTTCTCGTGTTGTATGCCACGAATTAGACATTATCCTTTGTGTATTGCTTCATACGATATGCTATCTGACGGCGTGCATGTGGTAATATATAACAGAAAAATCCATTTAAACTCGTTTAAATAACATAAGGTCATTTGTTATATTATCCACTGTGGACTGAATTCCTCTCCAAAATTCTCTCCAAAATTCTTGTGTTGAAGCCCAAATCCTCAGTGTGATTATATTTGGAGATGGCTTTTAGGATGCCATTAAGGTTAAATGAGGTCATAAGGGTGGGGTCCTCATCCAGTATGATCGGTGGCCTTATTAAGTGAGCAAGAGAGAGATCTCTTTCCTTGTGCACATACCAGGGGAAGGTCATGTGAGGATAGTGAGACGGCGAGAAGGGGGGCTGTCTGCGATCAGGAGGAGAGGCTTTACCAGGAACCAAATCAGCTGGCACCTTGATCTTGGACTTCCCAGCCTTTGGAGCTAAGAGAAATAAATAAATAAAAAGAAGGGCGTAGTGGACGCTAGGTTGGCAATATGTAAGCCCAATTCTTTCCAAGCAGAGTCACATCTTATATGGGAGGTAACACATGAAGAGAAGAATCACGGATATTCAAAATTCTCTTTGAAAATCCCTTTAAACGCCATGACATTTCGGAGAGTGACATAACTTTCAGTAAATTGAGTGTAGCCATTTTTCCAGCGTTTAGTAGATTTCAGTTTCTTTGGGTGAGGCCAGATGAAATAGTTGGCTTGCCGATAGAGGACGGAGTGCTATTTTCTGCTGTGAAAGGCACACGGGAAAGGGAAAAACAGCAGTCAGATCTCCTAACAGATTAAATCGCTGTACAAATGAGAGTGGGGTCGTGGGGGAAAACACACACAGTGCATGGCGGTAGCACTTTATTAAAGAGTTGTGCAAATGTGGAAGAGTGCAACGTAAAATATTAATACATTTTCACATGATTGGCAGCATCCGAACCAATCGAAATGAAAAGAAATTTGCGTGTGTGTGTGTGTGTGTGTGTTCGCAACCACACAATTTCAAAGCGGGAAGGCTGGGTGGATTGGAAGCCATGTTTTTGCTACCGCTTCTAAGGTTGCCTCTTCAGACAGCAAAGAAACGCCTGCCTTCCTTCGCCAGTTTTATGGAAAATTAATCTTGGATTATGCAAGTTGTAAATTACAAGAGGCCTGCAGTAATGGCATCCCCTAACATAAAATCTAACTACCTTGCACTTAAGCTTTTTTTTCTCCCTATCTGGGGCCAGGGTGCTAAGTGTGTCTAGTTGAATTCACACGATATAAATGTCCATATAGTGACTCCACTGTATTTTATTGATTTTTAAGTAGCCCAGCAAGAGCTGCCTCTTTATGTTACCGACACTGTCCCACACCCACGCTTTACTTGGAGTGTTGGATTGAATCTAAAACTAATGCCGTAAATGGGCACACTCAACGAATGAAGGGGGGCATTTTTGTTCCGTCAGGGTAAGGCAGCAACAAGATAAAAGGTAACAGGGTTGAGTCCACAAAATACAGTCTGTTGTTAAGTCTTGAAGAGATCCAGAGGAGGAAGGACTAGTGGCCCAGACCAGACAAAGGACAAGGAGTCGTCAACGTCAGAGGTTAGGAATGGTCCGCACCTGCAGAAAGCCACCCCCAGAACCAAATCGCCTGAGGCAGAGGGTCTAAATACCAAGATACATGAGACCTGACTTGAACTATAGACCCCTATTGTTACGGGTAGGATCCATTATACTTGGGTTTGTGTTTCCCCAGATGTGTTCAATGGAACACCAGTTCCTTGATTACGCTCTTTGGAACAGGGTTCTGCCATCACATAAGTTTGCAAAATGCTACCGACTTGGCTTCTAGTTTAAAGTCTCAGGTCATATTATCCAATTAAAAGACATTCCTATAGAAAAGCCTCCTTCTCACTTCATTTCATCTATAACTTCCCAAATGTATTTGACCATGGGATATTTTATTTGAGCACCACACCTACTAATATCCCACAGAAATGGTTCCCCTGGACACCCCTGAGAAACCCTGGCTTCAGACCTGGACAGGAATTGTAGGCCAATAAGGGGGGCAGCAAAGGCTGGCGTGGGAGCCATCGAAAGGAAAATACTGATTTTTTTTTTGAAGATGGAAGAAGCCTGAAACCACCCTGGAACCCACCAAAAGTTGCCTCAAAAGATACTCCTGTCATTCAAGAGATTCCACAGGACTTAGGAGCTCTGTGTTAGGAACCAGGATCAAGGATCAAATATTAGATTTTTTTTTATGTTTATTTATTTTTCTCAGAGTGAGAGAGACAGAGTGTGAGCAGGGGAGGGGCAGAGAGAGAGGGAGACACAGAATCCAAGGCAGGCTCTAAGCTTCGAGCTGTCAACACAGAGCCCGACCCGGGGCTCGAACTCACAGAACCTGAGATCATGACCTGAGCCGAAGTTGGACACCTAACCGACTGAGCTACCCAGGCGCCCCAAGGATCAAATATTAGAACAAAAGATGTTTTTAGTGCTTTTATCACTTGGGAAATTACAAAGATTTTTAGGAGATCTGTGCCGAGAGCCGAAGGGAGATATAGATAGATACAGATATAAATGTAGATATAGATCTAAATATAGATATAGATAGATATAGATATAGATTATATATAGATAGATATAGATATAGATATATAGATTGTTTTTCCTGTTATTTCACACCTCCCGAGAAGATCTCAGAGGTCCTTCTCAAGATCTTATATTTGGAGTTAGACTGGCCAGAGTAAGTTCCTGGATTCAAGTCAGTTCTCCACCTCTTACTAGCTGTGTGATGTTGGATAAATTACTTAACCTCTCTGTTTACTAACCAATAAGATGTGAGGGAAACAAATACCCACCCCAAAAAAGTTGAGGATGAAATGGTTTAAACACATAAAGAGCTTCATGTAGCACTTAACAAATAAGTCAGTATCTATGGTACCTACTGTTCCAACTAACGATGCCAGTCTAGAATCTGAATATTATATTTTCCAAAGCAAAGGGTGTAAATATAAAAGCCTATCTTTGGTAAATGCAACTCTCTGCTACCAGGGCAGATAGGAGGCAGCATGGCCTGAATAAATAAAGTGTAGACGTTACCCTGAAAATGATTGGCCACAGTTTTAGCATCCTTCCCTGTTCACCATCTGGAGGAGTGTTAATGCTAGCAAAAGAGCCAATGGGAAGCAATCTGAGGAGATGAATACAATCTGCAACTCTAGAAATGTGGTGGCCAGTGACCGTAATTACATAGCTTCAATAACTCCCCAAAGGTTTCAATTCAGTTCATCCCAAAAGAAAACAAACAAATGAACAAACTTTTTCATGTCATGGAATTTATACCTGCAAGAACTTTATTATTAGGGATCCTTGAGTAACAAACACTAAGATAATGTGTATTGCCTTTAATTGCTGTTTTACAAAAGGTGCAGAAATGTTATTCCGTAGAGCTGTTTAATACATCAACTCTTTCTAAAAGACAGGAGCATGATATAAAATCCCATAAATAATTGGGATGAGCCTGGGGCCTTAAATCTAGTCATCTTGGGTTTGCTTAAGGGAGTTTATGATTGGGTCGCCTGGGTGGCTCAGTCGGTTGAGTGTCTGACTTCGACTCAGGTCATGATCTCATGGTTTCATGGG